AGCTACGCTACCATGGGAAAATGGCAGGCGTTTGTTTCACAAAACGGCGCGAACCACTTGAGCCATACGGCGTCGACCGACGCACGCTGGGCGGCCCTGACCAAGTCGTGTCCGCTACGCTCACTGCCACGCCCAACTGCTGAAAAACGCACCCTTCACACCCAGTCGCAACGCTATGTACAAACACGGTTCTCTCCTCCTCATTCCTCTGCCGTCTTCCGCCATTTGACGGCGACGGCAACAACCGCGACGACTAGTCTTTTCGGGGGGGAGTGGGGGAGGAGGCGGAGAGGTCATCACCACTACATCGCACCACCGTGAGTCAATCCTGAGAGCATAGCCAAGTAAGTTAAGATAGGACTGCACCCTCAAACTGCTGTACACGGCCGTGGTGGACAACCAGAGGCGCAACAAGAGACATATCAAACCCCGTCCGTTTACGTTGGCGCAGGTGTCTGTCCAGGAAGACGAAGAGGGAAGTGGAGGAAACGGAGGAAGAAGCGAGAGGCGGGGCAGCAAGACATACAATCGACGAGGGCTGAGACGACGCTATGGGCGCCGATGGACGACAGATGACCGACGACCGACGGACGACTGACCAACAGGCTGGGGAACTCAAAATGTACCGATACCACTACTCCCCTGACCTCCCCCAGGGTGCGTTGTGACCACATTTCAAGGCGCATCCAGGCGTGGTGGCGAGGGCCTCCCAGGAGCCCTACAATGGCAACGGCATCGGAACCGTTTCCTCATCTGTCGGGCGAAGGACGACGAAGACCGCGACGACGAGGGTTGGGACGACGCTGTCGGCGCCGACAGACCACAGACGAGAGGCAATCTTCTGCAGACCCTGACAAGGTTACTTGCGTGGAGAGGGGGACACGGCAGGACCCGGAAAAAAGTGAACTTCACGCAAGCTGGGACTCGCTTGTGCGCCTTTCCGGCCCAGAGCTGCTTGAAAAAACGGCGGCAGGGGGGTGAAGTGCCATGCAAGGAAACATGCCCTGGCCGACGACCGACGGCCGACGCAGGACCAGTGAGCAGCCAACGATGGGCGACCGACGCCCGGGCGGAGACCGCGACGACGACGGCGAGGACGAAGACGATGACGACGACGACGAGGCCGACGACGACGAGAGCGCCGACGACGAGGGCGGCGACAACGACGACGATGACGACGACGAACACGACGACGACGACGAAAACGAACACGACGGCGACGAGCACGACGACGACGACGACGACGACGACGACGACGACGACGACGACGACGATGACTAGGACGAAGGCGACTTGCGACGGCGAAGGCCCGACGCCAGCGGGGGCCGCCCCAGCGGGCTGCCGCGCCCAGGGCGCAGCGCGGGGGCCGCCGGCGCGGGCGGCCCCGGCGCGCCGAGGAGGGCGGCGAGCATCGGGGGGGCCGCCGCGGGGGGCGCGGCCGCCCCGGGAGGCGCGGCGCCCGGTGTGCGTTGCTTGGTTTAGGGGGCAAGTCCTGGGAGGTCTTCAGCTGCACGCAAGAGTGGCCCCGGGTCAGGGGGGCCCCTGGTGCGCAGGTATCTGGTGGCCGCGGGGGGGGACCAAACACAAGGGCGCAGGGGGCCCCAATGGGCCCGCCCGAAAGGTCACTCTGGCGAAAGGTCATTCTCTTAGGTCTAGTCGAGCTAAAGGCCCCTGAGCCAGACTTGGCAGCCAGGTACGACTAAGTTAGGCTGTTCCCACAGTGGTATGACGGCGGACTGAGCGGGATCAAGCTGGGTTGAGCGGGAGGGCGGTGTCAAGCGGCATCAGTGCAGATTAGGCCCGTTTCCGACCAGGGATGTACCAGCGCCGATTCTGAACTCCAACTCCCAGGCGCTGCATCCTAATGGGCGATCAGCGGGGGAGCGAAACAACGTGCACCTGTAGTGCACTTTTGAACCCTCGGCGGCCCCATTGCGGGCCCCGAAGGTGCACGTAAAGGGGACCCCTGCGGTCCGACTTTGCAAACAAACAAAGGCATCGAAAGACATCACGACTGCAGCCCTGGACACCCATCCTTCTGCATCAAGTTTCGAGCCGGATCGATCGATGGGAGGGTCCACGGGCCAGGAACCTGGCGCAACGGCCCGTTGAGACAATGTGGAAGCCAAGGTCTCAGGCACCTCTCTCCCCCCCCCCGTAGGTAGGTCGCCCGCCCATTGCGCAACGCCCAGGCCGCGCGGGGCGCTGTCGGCCCGTGCCGTGGCGCCCCGAGGCCGGCTGCGCGGGGAGCGCCGCTGGGCAGGAGTCCTACAGACCTCCAACGAGGGCCCCCACTCGGGCGCTGATGGGGGTGGGGGGAGGGAGAGGCGCGCACCCTTCGTGCCCCGTGTGGGCCCCAGGGGGCCCCTCAGCAGCACCTTCGGATACAAGAGGCGCACCCTTCTTCACCCCCCCCATGTACCGCACCGCGTTGCGCAACGCCCGATCCAGCAAACGACTCTGAGGTGCGGGCGTGGCAGACTTCACAACGAGCGTTTTCGCCTGGCGTCTGCGGTCAGGAAATCGCAGATGGATCCGACTCGAAAAATGCGGCACAAATATGGGGTATAGTGCTCTGATCGCAATTACGCGCGATGCTGCAATTGCTTTGCAACGTCGCATCTCAGGGAAGCGCGACGGAAGGCGTTCGTTGGTTCTGGGATGCTTTTCCCACACGCTGCACCTCGCCTATAGCGCTTCGGGGGGTGTCCGGATAGTCCCGAACGGCTGCTAGCGGACCCGAGGGATGGCCCGAAAGCCACCTCCTCGCGTCGTGTAACATCACGACGCCCTCTGGGGCTCTCTCACCAAGCCCTAAGGCAGTCAGAATCCATGGCGGTGAAAAACGGGTCCCAGGAAGAGGGTCCAGACCTCTGCGGTCCACGTTTTTGCAAAAGCAAACACCAAGTCGGAGGTCTGGATCAGCGGCGACGGCGAGTTGAGTGCTAATGCTGCTGATCGTTCTTGCATAGCCCTTCGCTTTCACTCGCTTCCAGTTCATGCCATGAAAGGTTCCCCAAAATAGGCGGTTCGCCCGAGACATGCTCAGAACATGAAGATGTTGGAGCATGTAACGTCCATCCCCCTGTAGCAAATCCACCGACCCAGTCCTTGTGTGCGAGGGGCCCTTCGACGCGAGGTCAGCCCAACCCAAACTGAAGTATACGCCAACCTACTTTGAATCGTCGTCGTCACGGAGATCGGACAAATACGGGGGGTCGAAAAGTGTCGAAAATTCCGTCGAAAAGAAATCCCTTCGCTTCTGGCACCTGCCCCAGCCCCGGCCCTGGGCACCCGGACCCGGCCCTGGGCAACCGGCCCTGGCCCTGGCCCCAACCCTGGCCTCAGGACCGGTCCCGGCCCCAATCCCTCGCCTCGGCTCCGGCCCTGGCCGGGCCCCGGTTCCGGCCCGCCCCCGAGGGCACAGACGGTTATCCTTTTGCTCCTTTGTCTCCTCCTCCTCCTCCTCCTCCTCCTCCTCCTCCTCCCCCCCCCTCCTCCTCCTCCTCCTCTTGCTCCTCCTCTTTCTCCTCCCTCCTCTCCTCCTCCTTCTCCTCCTCTCTTCTCGCTCCTCCTCCCTCCTCCTCCTCCTCCTCCTCCTCCTCCTCCTCCTCCTCCTCCTCCTCCTCCTCCTCCTCCTCCTCCTCCTCCTCCCCCTCCTCCTCCTCCCCCTCTACCTCCTCGAGGTCTTCCTTTTTGCCCCTCCCTCTCCTCCTCCTCCTCCTCCTCCTCCTCCTGATCATCATCATCCTCATCCTCCTCCTCACCCCTTCCTTCCTCCTCCTCCTCTCTCCTCCTCCTCCTCCTCCTCCTCCTAATCATCATCATCATCATCATCATCATCATCATCATCATCATCATCATCATCATCATCATCATCATCATCATCATCATCATCATCATCATCATCATCATAATCATTATCATCATCAGCATCATCATCATCATCATCATCAGCATCAGCATCAGCATCAGCATCATCACCATCATCAACATCATCATCATCAGCATCAGCATCAGCATCATCATCATCATCATCACCATCATCATCATCATCACCATCACCATCATCACCATCAACATCATCACCACCATCATCATCACCATCACCATCACCATCACCATCACCATCACCATCACCATCACCATCACCATCACCATCACATCACCATCACCATCATCATCATCATCATCATCATCATCATCATCATCATCATCATCATCATCATCATCATCATCATCATCATCATCATCATCCCCTCCTCCTCCTCCTCCTCCTCCTGTCTTCTTGCTCCTGCTCCTCCTTCTCCTCCTCGTGGTCTTCCTTCTTCGCCTCTTGATCCTCCTCCTCCTACTCGTGGTCTTCCTTCTTCGCCTCTTTATCCTCCTCCTCCTCCTCCTCCTCCTGCTCCTCCTCCCAAGTTCCCCCCCCCCTCCCACCACTCCTCCTCCTCCTGCTCCTCCTTCTCCTACTCCTTCTCCTCCGTCCACCGCCCGCCACATGTCCCAAGCCTGTGGCAGGGTCATCAGCTCGTCGTTGTCGTCGTTGTAGGGGTGGTGGTCGTCGTCGTCGTCAGCGTCATTCTGGGTCAGCGGCGCCGGCCGCAAGGCCTTCACAATATGAAGCTTTCGTCTGAGACATCCTCAACAACAAATGGGATGCTGAACTCGCTCGCGAAATGTTCATACACTTCATCGAAAGTGAGATGTTGGAAGGGCTATGTTACTACATCGTTTGAGGGGCTCTCTTGGAGGACCACCAAGGTGGTGCAAGAAACGAATCACTGAGGGCGCCGCCAGCGGGGTCCTGGCACCGGCCCAAGAATCCGCGCGGAGATCGGACTGCTCATGGTTCTGCCGTTCCCTCTTCCTCGAGGGCGGAGGGGCGACGAACGAGGCGACAGGGGAGAAGGACCCCTGCAGCTGGCGGGGCGGCGAGGGGCGACGCCGCGCAGATGGCAGCCGGGCTTTCCTTTTCCCCCCGCGGCCCTCACCCGGGCCTAAGTGCCGCCCGCGGGGTCCGCGGGTGCCGCGCCCTCCTGGCCCGCGGGGGCGGAGGGCGACTCGGAGTCCGCACCCCCAGCCTCGGCCGCCAGGGGGACATGGGCCTCCTCGGCGTCGCCCTGTCCGAGGGGGGTCGCGGCCGCCGCCGCCGAGCGTCGTCATCGCAGGTCCGTCGAGGGTGTGGGAAAAAAGAGAAGAAAATACGGAAAACGGGAGCTGCTCCCAATGAAGATTGAAACCGTGGTGGCATGTGTCCCCTCGTGTGGGGGTCTCGCACAGAGACAGGACGTGTCGCCTCAAAACGGTTGACAGAATGCAGACGTCGGGCGCAGACCCTGGATGACTGAAACCTCTGTCCTTTTTGTCGGGGGAGGCTTTACCAATCATTTTCCACGCAGATGTCCCGAACCTTCCCGGAAGGTTGCATTGCTTGTTGAACCTCGGAACATGCTGTGGGATGCGCACAGGTTGCAACGCACGCATATGATAAACTCAACACCATCGCTGCGGGTGCTGCACATTGGATAATTCCTTCCGCTCGGGAAGAGACAGGCAAGGGATGGAGGTGAGGAGAGCGCAGGGCGGCACGCGGCTGAAGGGGAAGGGCAGAAGGAAGATAATAAAAGGGATCACCCCTTCCGCTCGCGTGGGCACTTGCTTCGGTGGCGAGTGGTCCGCGTCAGCAAGCGAGCCGAGTGGAAACTTTCTTGGCCCGCCGGAAGCGCACAATTTCGAAAATGCGGGCGAGTTCCCGAGATCTCCCCAGACCGCCGACCCTGTCGGCGTGTGTGAAAAGGCTCTTCCGTTTGAGTCCGTCGTCGTCCCCCGCTTGACGCTTTTCCGGTTGGGTCGTCGTCGCCGTCGTCGCTTCCCCCCTTCCCTGGGGCCTCATCCCCAAGCGTTCCATCCCGAGGGACAGCGAGCAAAGTCGCAATCGAGTCGAAGGGAAGCCCCTTCCCTTCGCACTGCACCCAGCAAACAGGACATCGCGCGAGCGCAGATCGCGGCGCAACTTGAACACCTCAACGGCCTCCCTGCCCGTGTTGTTCATCTGCAAGTCGTTGATCAATCTCGAGCTGGACGCTGGGAACTGCGCTGTCTGACTTCTGAAATTGACAGTTTCGCTCAGCGTGGACAACGTGTCCCTGCACTTGATGGTCTCGACCGTGACTGCAGGTTGGCGCCTCCCGATTGAGCCGTTCAAGTAGCCGCTCGTCACGGTCTGCGCGCGCTGCGTTGCTCGAGTGGCCTTCTTCAGATTGGACTTGGTCAAAAAGCATCGTTTCTGATCGCAGCAGCGTTCGTGTGCGCTCTGGGGAATCGACAAGCGATCGTTCGGCTTCGCGGCAGTGTCGCCGCAAGCACAATCCAGGCAAAGTCCAGGCATGCGCCAATTCAACCACTCCTCAACGCGCAGGCCGAAGGGTCTGCCCAAGCCGGTTGCGAACGCAGCTGTTCCGAACCTCGAGCTGCTTTGCTACGCCCTTGTAAACAAGCAATGGGCCCTCCATCCACTGAGGGGACACCTGGTTCGTCCATGGCGCCTTGTGTTTGCACTCCCGTCTGTTAATATTGGAAGCACGCGCATTCGGTAGGAGACGCTTCTCCTACTTGCTTGCCGGGCCTGCAACAAGACGGTGGATGTGGTGCCCGCAGCGATTGTGACAGATAAGGGAACGCCCTGTTGGATCATGTCCTGAACTCTGCGCGCCCTCCGGATTGACCGAAGACGTCGGCCTGTCATGAGCCGAGCGCGTGGGAGCCTCGGGTACGTTACGCGCGCCGCCGCGAAGAAAGCGCGGCAGCCTGCCCAGCGTCAACTCCCCCAAGCTGGGAACTTCCTCGGTGCAGCTCATGTGGGGAAGATGCGTTCCAGCGTCGCTCCCTCGTGCCAGAATTGCCCCGCGCCTGGGCAACGCTCGCAGAATACTTGCCTGAAGAAACGTTTCCGTTCTTCCCCGTGCGCCAAGGTTTCGTCGAGCTTATGTGCGACGTCCGTCATCCGTCAGGTGGCACACGGGCGCACGCGCTGCACAAAAATGAAGAAATAGCAATGCAATCCCCTCGTGGTCTTCTGCGCATCGTTGGCTCAAAAACAAGCGCCAACGCGACGGACAATGACTCCCACTGCTTCCTTGGGATGTCCGGGTCGTCCTGACAGGGCCGCGCCGTCTCTGAGCAGCATGGACAAAGAGGACACGTCTTCGCATCGAGCATCGTGGCCAGGACGGCGCGGATCTGCACGAAGAATGCGTTCGCGGCGGCCAGGGGATCTTCTGCGATACCGCAAATCAGAGCCTGGGATCGGGAACTCTACGTCGTCGTCCAACGTCGGTTCCAGGCCTGAAAACCTGTCCTCCGAAATGGCCGAAAGCATGGGCCTTCCTTTCCTGCTCATTTCCTACGCGTCTTCTCCTCGACGAAGGGGTCGTCGTCGCGCAATTTTGTTACCGGGGGGAGACCATGCAGAATATGCAATTGCCATCGTTCACGCAAGCCTGGCTACCAAAATGGCTGACCTCCATTCGCAACTCTTGCGCCCCCAGAATAACACAAGGCCGAAAACGGACATCTGCAAAGTATCTTCGCCGCGAAGACAAGTTTCGAAACGACCAACGACTTGCTGGCACCGCCATTTATCCGCAGCACCTCTCTTTCGGAGCAGTATGCTTCACTTTGTCGAGTTTTCCAAGTAAGTCCGCCGCGGCAACGGCGGCGACAGTCTCCAACGCATGGGCACCTCGTCCTTCCTGCAGGCTCGTCTCGACACTGAGGCTGTCGCCCAGATTGAGGCTCTCTCGGAGGAGTCGAATCCACAGCGCTGGCGTAAACCCCAAGCGGCGGCGAAATGTACCCTCTATCCGCCGCAGCAGTCCACGCGCGAGGGAGCTGCCAACGCCAGACACGCAGGGCCTGCGGCATAGCATCCAGGCGGGAGTTCTTCCCGCGCAGAGCGCGGTGGTACAAGGCGCCAAATTTCTGGCAGGGACGCACGGTTCTCGTCGGAAGGCAGCTGTCTGTCCCAGGCCGACGCCAGAGAGATCGATGCGGAGAATGAGACCCGCAAATGGGGCACCGCAAAAATATGGGGGAATGCCATGCCCGAATAACACGCGTTGAACTGGTCCGTATATATGTCCGTGCTCGTCATCATCTGGAGGCCTCCGAATGCGCTGGAAGTACGCAGTACTCGTCCACGGATGTTGGATTGACTCCGATTGCTCCGCTCGGCCAAAATGTGGCGCGGTCGCGATGTCCTTTCCCACTCTGGCGTTGTATTGGGCGCTCCAGGAAGCGTAACAAGCCACTTTGCCCTGAACGATTGGTCCATTCGCTCACTTCAGGTCTCGGATTGCACCTTCTACCGCCTGCGGCACGAAGCGGGCGGCCCCGCTCTCCTCTAAGCACTTCTCCCTATATCGCTCGCGCAACCGAGCATTCACGCGGGAATCCGAATTGACGCCGCGCATGCCGTAGCCAGGATACTCCGCGTCGCGCACGGTCTTGATTAGTTGCTCCAGCACGTCAATGCGCAAGGAGGGCCCTTTTAGATGGAGCGCCAAATCTCTGCTACCCCCACGATGTGTACACCCCCACGCCAATGTGGCCCCCCTCCCTAGAAGAGGGAGGGCGGCCAGATGAGGGTGGGGCATCCGTTTCGAGACGCTTGTCCGAGACATCCTCACCGTCGGGTGTCGATACTTTTTGGTCCAGCCCCAGAGGGGGGACGGGGGCCGAGTGGAGGTGGAGGTGCGCTCTCGTCCCCCAACGTGTGTCCTCCGTCCCCGCGCGGGCCTGCTCAGGCCTCCGGAGGACGAGGCTCCTGGCCAGGGGACGTGTCCGAAGAAATCATGGCCTAAACCATGACATCCGCCCCAAAAATCATGATCCGCACCTGGGACGTCCCGATCCCTGAGATCCGGGACTGTGGAAAGATTGCAACGTAGCAAAGCATCACGACCGGAGCCCTGGGCCTCAATCCTGCGTCATTCTTCGGGCCGGATCCATCGGTCTCGGCCCCGGGGCCTGGCACGGAGCGAGACTGCCCGCTGCGAGCCCGACTGCGTCGCGAGGACCTCGGGCACCTCTCCTCCCCTGAGACTCCCCATGTTGTTTTTGTTTTGATACTGGCGTTTTATATGATATCGTAACGGAAAAACGCATATCATATTATAGTTTGCGATACATATCATAAACAACGATACATATTTAAAAAATGATAATATCAATGATACGTCAGCAAATCACTCATCACATCATAATTTATGATATGGTGCCACATAGTATGTGCTTCAGCCACTATATAAAATAAGAAACAACATCACCATCAAACCATTATAGGGATACTGTAATGCAATGTAGGTCAACTAAGCAATGTAGAAGTACATAAAGTAAATCAGGGCGATGTAAAGCCAGCTAGGGTCAGAATGGAGGAGGAGGAGGAGGAAGGGGGTGAGGAGAAGGATGAGGAGAAGGAGGAGAAGGACGAGGGGGAGGACAAGGAGGAGGGGGACGAGGAGGAGGATAATGGTATTGGCGTAAGATTCTTCATATATGTATATGTACATAGATATGTAGAACTGTATACATGTATATACGTATATAGGTATACATGTATATATAGATATATACATGTATATATGTTTATATGTATCTATGTATGTATGTAAAAATGTAGATCGGTAGACATGTATATATATGTATATTTGTATACATGTATATGTAAAAATACATGTATAAATATACAAATCTACATATGTATACATATATATAATCATGCGCCTATGGCCCGCCGTTCGTCAGGTGGGCCGCGGATCACGCCTATGGCCCGCCGTTTGCTAGGTGGGCAGCGGTTGTGGGCAGTCTTGGGTCTTGGGTCTTGGGCTTCGGATTAGGGGGTTGTCTTGGAGGGTTGTGTGTTGTTGTCGTGGTTGTTGGTGTTGGTGTTGTTACAGTTGCGTTGCTGGCTTGTGGGATGTGTGTTGCTGGTTGTGTGGCTGTGTTGCTGGCATTTGATGTTGTTATATATGCTATTGGTGTTGCTTTTGCTTCTGAAGTGGTTGTTTCGGTTGTTGTGATTGCTACTAGTGTTGCTGTACTTGTAGTCGTTGTTGTTGGT